TCTCAGAAGGCGCGGGCCTTGCCTGCAGATGTAGGGCCGGCGCCTTCTGAGAAGCAGGCTCCTTCTTTCTAAGAAGCTTTCCCCCTGCCCCCTGCCCCCCTCGGCGCGCGCCGCCGGCATCCACCCGTCTATTTCAAGCTCCCTACCTGGCCATCCATGCTCGTGGCTCAGACACCCTGCATGCACTTGCACTGACCCTGGTCTCTAGCCAGTTTGTTCCCGTTCAGTCCGCCGATTGGAGGAGGTAGGGGCGCGTGCCTCACCCGAGTCAAAGGCAGAATTCCTCATCCACCCGTTTATATTATAAACAGATCCCCTAGTAGCGGCACCAGGTCTGTTGGTTGGGCGGCACTGGCGTTTTGCTAGAGATGTCATCACTGCTTCTCATTCTCAAGCTTGAAATTTAGAGGAAGGGCGAGACGTCTTCAAGATGTGGTTTCGGCCTAGCGCCGCGCACACTCGTTTCGGAAGCCGCCAACAGTTGCGGAGGGCGGTTCGTTTCCAAGATGTGGTTCTGGCCTTGTCGCCGCGCACATTCGTTTTGACAGCTTCCAGAAGGTGCAAGAATGGACGGCGCTTCATTTTGAGGATGTGGCTATCGCGTTCGCGCCACGCACATCTGCCAGCTTCCAACAAATGCAAGGATTGTGGGCGGTTCATTTTCAAGATGGGCCTCTCGCCTCAGCACCACGCACCTTGTTTCTCTCGTTAAACTTCATCGGCTTCAAACTTGTCGAGCTCTTCTTTTTCAACTTGGGGCTCTCGCCTGAGACCACCTCAAACAAAATCTTGACGCTCACGTTTGCAGCTTCCCGGCAGCCCCCGCAGCTTGCAGTCCCCACCCTCGGCGCAGCAGCTTCCCCCGGCGGTAGGTTCTCTTGGTGCCTGCGCGCGCGCCGGCAATTGGATCCGCTCGGAGCCCGAGCTGACTCGACTCGCCGCTGGCGCCGTCGCCTGCGGCTGCGACAAAACATCCCCACCATGGTCACAGTGCCAGTCTGCCAGTTCCTACGCCATCTTGGACGCCAGGAGGAGGAGGAGGAGGAGGAGGAGGAGGAGGAGGGCGCTGTTCCTCCCTGAGCCGGGCGCTGCTCCTTCCTGTTTTGTTCCTCTGCTTGGGCGCCGCCCGCCCCAGCTCTGCCCAGCTTTATCGACCTGCTTTGCGAGCCCGCGGACCAAAAAAAGCGTACAATCAACGCGCCTAGTAAGGACGCGCGCCATCATCTAGGATGCTTTTGCGTCCTTGCCTCTGTGGCCCGTCCTTGGCTGTCTTCACTGGTCGCCGCCGCCCCAAAAAATCCCAACTTCGGCCCCCAAGGGTCTTGCGTCCTTACCGCGCGTCCTTCCTATACGTTTTGACTATATCCCCACCAGCCGATCCGGTAACGATGCCCACAAGAGTGGCTGGGATGGACGGCGACGACGACGACGACGACGACGACGACGACGGCGACGACGACGACGACGACGACGACGACGACGACGACGTCGACGACGGCGGCGGCGGCGGCGGCGGCGGCGACGGCGGCGGCGGCGACGACGACGACGACGGCGACGATGGCGAAGACGACGACGACGACGGCGGCGACGTCGACGGCGACGACGGCGGCGACGTCGACGGCGACGGCGACGGCGACGGCGACGGCGACGACGACGGCAAGCGTCAGCGATGGCGGCAAGTTGTTCCTGTTTTGCGGTCCTCGTCCGCCAATCAGCGCATGGCCGCCAGTTCAGGGGCGGGTTGCCGTGCCCTCGACAGCCCCGCGCACGGCGCGGCGCGGCGGGGGGGGGCAGGCGCGCTCGCCACCGCAGAGCAGGCGGCGAAGACCGGCGAGGCGCTCCGCCTGGAGGCCGGCGTTCCCTGCCCCTTCTCTTCCTGCTGTTGTTGATGGCGACGGGCTGCCTAAAGGCCCAGACGCCCTCGGACCGAAGGCCGAGAAAAGTAGTATGGGGTAAAGGAAACACCGCCCTGGAGCAGCCTCGTGGCCACCCCGGGGCGAAATCAACTTAGAAAAGCCCCGGAAGGGCAGCTCGCAGCCGAGGAGGAGACTGCAGCCACCGCACTTCTGGGCCGCCGTCAGTGCCCCTCCCCCTCCTCTTTTTCGGGTGGGACGAGCGGGGTCGAAGAAGCAAACCTGCACGAACCTGACCCTCGGACCCGCCCTCGGCGTGATGGCGCTGCCGCGCGACGCTGAAGTCCAACCAGGCGAGGGCGGACAGGGAGGGAGACGGGAGGGCGCAACGTCTGGTGCGTGCAGCCGGTGCTGGCCCCGCCGCCGGGTGCTCCGTTTCCTCGGTACACTGGCGCTTCTGGCGCCAGGAGGCGCCGGGAAAGCCAGCCACGCTGGCGGGGATCCCCTAACCCCTCGTTGCTCTTCCCCCGGTCGTCCGACCCAGCTGTCGCCCAGGAGGAAGCCCAGATCTCCGAGCGTGTGATCTGTTCAATCCCGGCATCTTCCTGTGATTTCGGATCCCCGTCATCAAGCCCTGAGGCCATCAAAAACGGACCCAGGACGAGAAATGACCCCAGGGAAGGGGTCGGGATTTCTGGGGTCGCGCATGGTAAAAAGCTCCCATCGGCGGATGTCTGGGAAGGGACCCTGCAGAAAACGGATCCTGAGGTTTTTCGCTGCGGCTCTCGGAGCCCTCCTTGGGCCCTGGGATTGCAACGAGAACGGCTCGGGGTGAAGAATTGGTCCTGGGGGAAGGCTCTGGGTTCCAGGTCCCGTGCCCCTCGAGATACGATCCTTTCGTGCCTTTTTTGTGGGGGAACGAAGGCCTCCGAAGGGAAGGTCTGCCCTCCCTTCTGCAGACTTCTTTGGTTGCTCCTCCATCTCTTCCTCATCGCCAAATCGGGGCAGGGCAGGTTAGTCGTCCAGCCCCGATCGGGGCAGGGCAGGTCAGCTCTCCAAGCGCGCCCCTCTGGCGGGGATGGGCTCCGTGTGCCCCGAGGGAGGCGGCAGCCCTCCCCGCCGACGCGGGGGGGGGGGTCGGCCAGTGGGGCCCAGAGTTCCCCGGTGGGATTGGGGCTCTGGGGCTGGTCTTGTTCGGTCCTCGTTCGACCTTCGAACGGTCATCTGCTTCTGTGGTCGGTTAACCGCATCAAGCCTTTAAGAACCCCCCCACCCCCCACCCACCCCTCATCTGGTGAAAGTATAGCGCATCCGGCACCCTGGAAGCATTACCTCGGCACCGGAGGAGCCCGCAAAGAGCGCTCGGGGCCGAGCTAAGCCTTGCTGAGCCCTGCTAGCTCCCGCTAAGCCCTGCCAAGCAATGATAATCCAGGCTCGCCCCCTGCTGCGCCCTGCTAAGCCCATGCCAAGCCTGCGTCGCGCGGCGCGCGACGCGCCACGGAATTTTGTTGTTTGATGTGTGCGAGGCGCTAAAGATATCGCTCTGCGAAAACGACCCCCTGAAAATATTAAATCCTGGTGCGGTGCTAGCAATAACCCCGGGGGGGTTCTCAGAGGCCTGCCGGGGTCATACGGTTTCAGATGGCGCTGGTCCTCTGCCTCTCCCCCCTCTTTGGGGGCGCCCCCCCCCTTTGCCTCCCCCCGCGGCCGACCCCCCTCGCGCACCGCCTCGCGCACCTCGCGGCCTGCTGCGCGGCTCGGCGTGCACGGGGTCCTCCCTCTCTTCCTCCTCCCTCCTCCTCCTCCCTCCTCCTCCTCCTCCCGCCTCCTCCGCCTCCTCCGCCTCCTCCTCCTCCCTCCTCCTCCTCCTCCTCCTCCTCCTCCCTCCTCCTCCCTCCTCCTCCCGCCTCCTCCTCCTCCTCCTCCTCCTCCCTCCTCCTCCCCCCCGCGGCCGACCCCCCTCCCCTCTGCTCCCTGGCCCTCGCGCACCGCCTCGCGAGCCCGGCTTGCCCGGCCTGCCGCTCTGGCCGCGCGGAGCGTCCGCCACGCCGCCGCGGCCGGGAGAGTTTTAAGTCGGGCCTGTCCTTCTACAGGGGGGATCTTCGAAAATAGTCCAGAAATAGTCTGGGGATTATTTGTTGATTTTTTAATAGCATGTTTAGTATATCTATTTTGACAATTCTCAAGCATTTTTATATGTTTTCATTTGTTGAGCATAATTAGTGTGATTTTGGGGTATGTTTAATTTTTCGTCCCAGATCGGCCTGTAGGGGGACAGGCCCGACCTAACGGAAGATTCTGGGCATCTGGCGCTCCCCGAAGCAGGTGTGGGCAAGACGAGGCCAGGACGAGAGTGAAAAAAACGGGTGGTGATACGTGGGGGATCTCTGAGATCCTGCGGCGCTTTGGAGGATGTCTCGGGCGCCGCGGCCTTCTCGGTGCGTTCCAGCTCCGGAGGCTGGGGTGGAAGTGAGAAGGGGCGGGCCTTCTCAGAAGGCTCGGGAGTCCCCCGGCCTTCCCCGAAGAGACACGGACAGCCTCTGAGAAGGCGCGAGGGCATTTGAGAAGTCCCGCCGCCTTCTGAGAAGGCTTTCTCCCCATTGCCTTCCCTCGCTCGCCGCCGAGTGCGGGCTTGGAAGTTGGCATAAACACCACCAACACAGGAGCCTGCATCCACAGGGGGAAGATCCTGGATTCTGCTGCCGGTGGTGATCTCTCTGCCACCTCAGAAGCCCGAAAACCACCGCCATCACCGACAGGTCACGACCATCTCCCCTCGGTGGTGGCAGCGGCCGTTGCTGGTGTTGGTGCCAACCTTGGGGGCCTCCGAGGGTGTCCCCCAGGGCCTCCCGGCCCCCCCGACCTCGCGGCCAGGGGAGCGACGCAGCAAGCATCGGCCCGATTGTTCGGACCTTCGTGCGTATAGTCATCAGGAGCGAGAGAAGGACGTACACGTACATGAATCCACGCTGGTTTCGAGGGTTCGTATTGCGCGAATGTTCGTATTACGCGGCCGGTCTCGCGGGTCAAGGGGCCGTGCTCATGTACATAGCTGGGCGCGTACATCCGTTGTGGGCTCCCTAAGTTGAGCGCCCTCGTTCCCAGGGTGGCGTGCCGCTCCCGCGGCCCGCCCGAGCGCCCGAGCGGTCGCCGGCTTGGAGGGAAGGGGCCAGGCATCGCTCCCCCCCCTCCCCCCCTGCAGTTCAAGGTTGACGCGCTGGCGCACTGCCGCTCGGACACTCAGGCTCGGAGGATCCGACACCAAGTCGCTGGCGCGGAGGGAAGGGGCCAGGCATCGCTCCCCCCCCCTCTCCCCCCCCTCTGCAGTGCAAAGTTGACGCGCTGGCGCACTGCGGCTCGGACCCTCGGGCTCGGAGGATGCGGCGCCAACGTGGCAAGTCGGGGGGGGGGGGGGGGGGGAAGGGGGGGGGGGGGGGGGGGAAAGGGGCGGAGTGCAAGCAACGTGTGTGCTGCGCGAGTGCTGCGAGGTGGCGCCGCCGGCCCGCCCGTCCTTGTTTCGATAGCCCCCCCACCTTGGGGATCGCGTGCACAGAAGTGGCCCTCGCGGGGGGAGGGGGGGGGCGCCCGCCTATTTTTCGATATCCCCCACCTTGGGGATAGCGTGCACAGAAGTGGCCCTCGCGGGGGGGGGGATAGCCTCACAGGGATGGCCTGCTTTTCGGAGATCGATGTCACGCGCTGTCTTTCCCACGCCAACCGCCGTAGTTGTCTCCGAAGCTTGCATGTGTATGATCCCTAGCTTTGCTTTTGGGGCTAGCGCGTTGGCCTGAGCCTTGTGCTGCTTGGGGTTCTCACCGGGCTGCTGAGCTCACGATGACCGCAAGCGGGTCCGTCCTGGACCGAAGAGCCAAGAGAGCCAACAAATACAGAGTGGGGACGAAACGGGAAGACCGTAGGACCCTTTTCTTTCCGTCGCCCAGGCGTCAGGAGGGAAAAAGCAGCACAAACACAAAGAAATCCTGCTGTTCGTCAGCATATGGGGAACATGGAGGGGAAGAAGAAGATCCAGGAAATAGTGAAATAAAAGGGAAATCCTAGAACTCGTGCCGATTTGTTGTGTTTTTGCCCCCCTTGGCACCTTCGAGGTGTTCGCCGCCGGCGACGGCTTCGAGCTCTCAGCGCGCGAGCTGCAGGGCGGGCCAGAGGTCCGGCTGCCCGTGAGCGCGGAGCTGCTGGCGGAGCTGGACGAGCAGGAGGGGCCCGCGGTGACCAGGGGCAACGTTGGGGGGGCGATGTAGGGGAACAAAAAGTGACATAAACATACTCGGAGGTACGCGCGGATTTCTCGGATCGGCGCTGGACCCCCCTCCATGGCGCGCGGAGCGCGCATGAGCGCGCCAGGGGCGGCGCCGGAGGCGCCGCCGGGGGGCCCCAGCGCCGATTCGAGAAATCCGCGCGGACCTCCGCGTTTTTATGTTTATTCCACTTTTTGTTCCCCTACGACGGGCTCTGAGATTCCCAAATGTTGTGGAAGTCGATTAATGGAGAGGAAGCATGCTGCCAGATAATTTCCAGATTTCGGAGGTTGGGGGGTGAGATCGCAGTGAAACGGAGACCCCCCACCAGGAAGTCGGTTTCGTGTACGTGTTCGTGTCGCGCGTGCGGGCGAGGCGAAGTTGCGCGTGATCCTCCTGTAGCTAGGCCGAAGTAGGAGCGAAAGTCCGTTCCCCGTCCGCCGGTGGCCGGGAGGTGTCCCAGTTGGGCCGGGCGGTGTCCCGGGTGTCAGTAGGAGCGAAAGTCCGTTCCCCGTCCGCCGGTGGCCGGGAGGTGTCCCAGTTGGGCCGAGCGGGTGTCCCGGGTGTCCCGGGACACCGCCTGGCCCTATTGGAGAGGGAGATTCTGATACAGAGGGAGAGAGAAAGAGAGAGAGAGGGCGAGAGAGAGAGAGAGACAGAGAGTGAGAGAGAGAGAGACAGAGAGAAAGAGAGATGAGATCAAGGTGACAGGCTGGAGGTCAGTCAGGGTGGGCATTTGATCTCAATCCGCAGGGCGGTCGTATAGGTATAAAACATGTTTTAAACATGTAAAACATGTTGGAAGCATGTTTAGAACAGGTGGTACACATTTTAAACACATCTTCAACTCAATGATGTTAGAGTGTCCAATTGTCGTGGCATCCACAGCTCTAAGCTTCCCAAGTGGGGTCCGAGCAGATGGCGTCGGAGGGTCGCGCCGCAGCGGCGATGCACGGGCCACGCGGCTCAATTCTACGACCCCATCTACCCAGACACCATTCAGGAGGGGGAAAAAACAAAACACAGACACCATCTGGGAGGCCTCAGTCAGGAGGGAAGAAAACACACAGACACAATTATTCGTCGATTCCCAGAAAATGTGGGAAAATACGCGCAGTGGGGGGGGGAAGACAGAAACCCAGAGAACATGGGAAAATATGGGGGATCTTTTTATTTGTGTGTATCTATTTGTGTATCCTGGGGCCCCTTCAACCATCTGGGAGGCCTCAGGCTCAGGGGGGGATCCTTCCTTTTTGGTACGATCGACATGCGGAGGGGGACAGCTTCGAGATATTTCGGAGACGAGAAAATATGATAAACCCAGGGACCGCTGACAATCCAGACGGCGAAGATAAGGATAAAGTGAAGGCTTTCATGTGAAATAGTTTTTAAAGTCGACAAGACGTTCGAGGGTTTCCGACACTTTCGTCGGTTCTCGGCGGTTTTCCAGCCTCGGGGTGCTCTCCAGCGATTGCGCTTCGCCGAGAGGCGTCTGGGGGTGTGCTGATGGTCCCGAGAGGCCGCCAGAGAGACGAGCTTTGGCCCGAAAACCAGGGGGCAGCGCTAAGCGGCGACAGCCTAGGGAGGGGATGCATCGACCCTTTATCGCCCACTCATCGCCGATCGCCGATAGTGGCCTGATGAACCACCCCGCCCAGGAACGTGCGGTTTCCCTGTCGGGGGCCCATCGCCGATCTATCGGCTGTGCATCGCCGGTTCAAGCTCGACGTCTCCCCCCACCCCCCACCCCTGAGGGGCCCGGGGAGGGCGGCGAGGGTGACCATGCGGCCGGGCGGGCCCGCGAGGTGTCAGAGGGTCCTCGTTGGGCCCACGATGGTTCCAAGAGGGTTCAAGATGGTCTAGAGATTCGGGGGTGGACAAACCTCCTACCCTGACACGTCGATTGGCGAATTGGCCGTTTTCGGTTCGCGAGAGGGCGTCGCGGCCGCCGTTTTTGCGGGTCCAGGTCCGTCGGTTTCGGTCCCAGGCCGTTTTCACTGAAGGGAGGTTTACTAAAGGGAGGTGTGTCCACCGCCGAAAGATGGCGCCAGATGGCGCAAAATAACCCAAGGTGGCGTCCAACATGCTCCAAGGGGCCTCGAGAACCTTCCAAGACGGGTCGAAGTGGCCACGGAGCCTCCCGGGGATGCCCCCGCAGACGAGGGCGACAAAAGAGCCATGCACAAGCACCGATCCTGGCCCCAGGATGAGCAGAGCCAGCATCGGTGTGGGCATAGAGTGGACGCCCTCCTCCTCCTCCTCCTCCTCCTCCTCCTCATCATCATCATCATCATCCTCCTCCTCCTCCGCCTCCTCCTCCTCCGCCTCCAGGAACCGACGACGCCGAGCCAGGATCGGTGTAGGCGTATAGTTGACGCCCTCCGACGGGGAGGGGCGGGGAGGGAGTCCAGGCCTCCCCAAAGCGGGGCCAGAGCAGATGCCGGAGCCGGGACGGCGCCGGGCTTTCTCGGCATTTCCCTCGTCTTCTCCTTCTTCTTCTTCTTCTTCTTCCTCTTCTTCTTGGGCCCCCCCGCCGCCCAGGGTGGGTCCACCTCGAGGAAATTACGGTTCCGGATGAACACTCCGAGAGGTGTGCAGAGAGGCTGCTCTGGAAGGCATGTGGGGCTGGGCGGGAGAGGCGCCGCTGCCTCAACTGGCCCCCTTTGGTCCAAATGGGGCCAGAGTACAGTCAACGCGCATAGTAAGGACAAGCGACTTTTTCAAGGGTACCCTGGGGTCCTTGCCTGCCTCAGCCTCTGCGGCCCGTCCCTAGCAATTTTCGCAGGCCAGTTTCTCAGGTTCCCTGGGGGTTTGGCCGCCTGCCGCCCAGAATACTTCAACTTCGGCCTCCAAGGGTCTTGCGTCCTTACCACGCGTCCTTACCATACGTTTTCACTGTAGACGGGGTCGGAAAATCGCGCCGCATCGCCGATGCATCGGGCGATGCGACCCGATGTAGAGCCTGATCTTCTCCACGCCGACGGCAGCAATGCAGCGCCGACGTCGTCGATGCACCGATCCTCCGACCCAATCTCTGACCCCTTTTGAGGGGCTTCCAGGGTTGCGCTCTCACAGGGATTATCTGCTTCGTTCTGTTTAGGGGGGGCAGGATTTGTCCGCCCAGGCAAACGCCAACAGCAAGCAGCAATTGAATCGTGGTTTGACCATCGAGGTTTCGTGTTTGTTCTCCATTCCCCCCCTCAACAAACAAAACAGCGACGACAACAACAACAACAACAACAACAACAACAACAACAATCATTTTAAGACTGGTCGCTCTTACTGGCACGCGTGTCTTGCATTACGTATACCCCAATCCTCGATACCCGCCCACTTCGTCTTCGATTGCATCCCCTTTCGGGGGAATCTCTTCCTGTCGGCCACTGACTGAAGTGCGAAGAAGGCTCGAGCAAGAGCGCCGTTCCTGAGTTCGGGGGCGTCTCCGGCCAGGGGCTCTCGGAAAACCTAAGGAGAAATATCGAACGGGAGCCCTTGTCACCGTGTCCGGGCCTCTACCAACTTGCCTGGATTACGGGAAAGTTTCGAGCGAGAGCGCCGTTCCTGAGTTCGGGGGCCTTCTTGGCCAGGGGCTCTCGAAGTAAATCGTGAGGAAGTATCGAGCAGGAGCCGTGTCGTCGTGGCTGGGCCTCCGCCAACTTAATTCAATGGCGAGGAACTCGAGCAAGAGCGCGGTTCCTGAGTTCGGGGGCCTCCCTGGCCAGGGTGTCTCGGGGTAAATTGCGGGGACCTATCGAGCGGGAGCCGTTGTTGTCGCAGCTGGGCCTCCAAGGGCCCACATTGAGGCTCCAGTCAACGCTCGAGCGGGAGCTTCGCTTTCAGAGAAAGTGTGGCCGGCGTCGAGGCGAGAGCGCGCGGAACCGTTTCTGGAGAGCAGCAGCGAGCCTTGGAGGCTTCCGGGGGCGGCGAGCGTGTCCGCGGCTCGGTGGGCTCGGCTGCGTCGCAGTTGGGCGCGCTCGGTCGGCGCAGCTCCGGACGGTCGTGGCGTCGCCGCCGCGCTGCGTCGCGCCCTTGTCTCGGGGGTGGACAGACCTCCTACCCTGACGCGTCGATTAGTGAATTGGACGTTTTCGGTTCGCGAGAGGGCGTCGCGGCCGTGATTTTTGCGGGTCCAGGTGCGTCGGTTCCGGTCCCAGGCCGTTTTCACTAAAGGGAGGTTTACTAAAGGGAGGTTTGTGCACCGCCGATTGTCTTGGCATCGTTCGGACGTGTGCGTGTTCTCTCGGCGAGGACCATCGAGGAGCGAGCATCCTGGATCATCTTGCAAAGGATAAGCGCAGGAAGCCGAGAAAGCGAGGAAGAGGGAGGAAGAAGATACAGAAAACGACCCCTTTCCCCTTCCCCTCCGCTCTCCTCGCTCCTCCTCATCATCCTCCTCCTCATCCTCCTCCTCCTCCTCGTCGCTCCTCTCCTCCCCCCTCCTCCCTCCGCCTCAACCTGCTCCCTCGTCCACTCTGTCCAGCTTGCTCCAGGCCAATCCGCCGAATGGAGTAGGTGCGCGATCTTTCTTGAGGCCAAATTCGAATCATGCTCCCTCCTCCATCCACCTGCGAGTGGTACCCATCGAGTTCTCTGCATCCTCCTGCTACGCTTGCGAGCAGCGCCTCGCAGCGTTACCAGAGCGGGTGCGGCTCAGCGATGCCCAGGCGGAGGAGGCCTAGCGTTCCGGTGGATGGCGCCCTGTCGTTGGCCCATGGTGCGGATCCGCGCCCCCCGCCAGGGTGACAAAGGTTTACCTTTGATGGGCGCCACCCCCCCCCCACGAGTTTGGCTTGCAAGTCTTTCTCCCACTGGGGCTGTCCTAGCCTGTGACATCCTCCCTGCACCTCAGTGTTCTGCTCCTCCGCATCGGTTGTCGCGTCTTTCGGCGAGGCCGCCGGGAGGGGCCCTCAGGATGAGGACTTCTCCTCCGATTCTGAGGGCAATGGTGGCGTTTTTTA